ATAATAATACTAAAATTACAGGAAGCCTATCGTCGCTGGGTCTGCTCAACGTTAGTTCCCTATTTTAACGAATCAACCAGGATTCGGCCTTGCAGAAGCGTCTGCCAATCTGTGGAACAAAAATGCCCTTATTTTTTGCCAGAAAATAAAGCTCCAGCTCTTCCTACGCAATATGCAGGCGAACCAACTTTTCTTTGCATGGGTAAATTTATTTATTTATTTATTTTTCACCCATACAGAAAAAAAAAAAAAAACTAATGCCACGTTTTTTACGCATATGTTAATACTAAAATTTATTATCATTATCATTATTAAATTTTTATTTTCATTTATAAAAAACTTTGAGATATTGTTTTTCAACTTATTGACTTTTTTTTTTTTTTTTTTTTTTAAAAAATATAAAACTTTAAAGTTATTAAGAAAAAAAAAAAAAAAAAAGTTGGAGTGAAAATTGACGTGGAATGAGAAAGAAAAAAAAAAGAAAGGAACATCAAACAAATAAGGGGTGGGGAGGGGAGAGGAGGGAGAATTCCCATCACTTTCTTTATCTTTTTTTCCTTTTTTACTCCTCGTCTCTATTTATTCCAGATTTAATTTTTTGTGGTTGTTGTTTGTTTTTCAGATCCTAACATTCCTGAAACGGGAGAACAACAAATGAAATCCTTATATCCGGACCAGGAAACTTGTTGTGTGAAAATATGTGGATCTCTCAAAGATGGACTTTGCATAAATGAAAAAAAAGGATCGAAAAAATGCAAAAATGAAAATTTAATTAGTTACGAGGAAGCTTTGGACCAATCCGCGGAATGCGGTGCCAGCGATTTATTAGGATCCCGCGTGCCTACGATGGAATGCACAGCCTCCGAACCTTATAATTCACCACATAAATTAGGATCCGGAGCCCAAAAGGTTCTTCCGGGTTCTTTTATTATTATACTACCAGCATGCCTGTGCCATAATCAGGCTCGCCGATTACACAACATTATTATTATTATTATTATTTCATTAGTATTCGTACGACACTACTTCTATTATTATTATTATTATTATTTTAATTTTAATTTGATTAATATTTTCGCGTGCCTATTTGTCGCGTTCGCGAATACACTAATACGGATACATATTATTATTATAGTATTATTATTATTATCGACTGTATTGCATAAGAGAATTTTTTTTTTCAAATCTACGACTACGATCATCAATTATTATTTTATTAATAATAT